CTAACCCGCAACCTTTGTGTTACGAGTCCGACTCTCTAACCATTAGGCCACGACTTCCCCCGTGGCCTAATGGTTACGGGGGAACCTAATGGTTACGGAGGCCACGACTTCCCCCGTGGCCTATATGGTTGAATATGACGCAAAAACATGCGTCATATTCCACTAGTACTCTGACTTTTGGACCCCACTCCATACTTTTCAAATGTTCATGCTCAAATGGAGTATGTTAGTGTAACAAGAATCAGTTCAGAGTTTGTAACTAAACTAAACACAAGTTGCACATTCAACAATATTGGTATATTTTCTATCAGTATGAACAGTACAGACCGATTGGAATCACATAAAAAATAAATAAATAAATATTGAAACAGACTGCAGATTATAGCTGCATCATCACTGCTGAACCATTATTATTAGATATTGAACACTCATCATCACTGATTATTTGGCTCTAGTTAAATACACTCAGTAATGTTAAGAAACATGGACTCTGCATTATGTGTCCGAGAACAATATGAGCTTCTTAAGAAGCCTGTGAGGTGCTGAATGCATTGGAGGTTTCTCTGTGTGCTGATACTAGCCTGCAATTTTAAAGAACATTTCAGAGTAGACCAGAGTACTTAAAGGGATAGCTTGCCAAAAATAAAAAAATAAAGTCATTGTACTTGCACATATTTAAATTTGGTGTCTCAGTATGCTTTGTTCCAGGTGCTGGGAAATGCCATTGGCTCTTTATCATCTTGTAAAGTGTGTATGATTTACAATGAATAATGGCTTAAATTTCCACCTGTTCCTGACACAAAGCTATAATATGACTCGGGACACAGTGTACAAAGTGTATGGAGTCGGACTACTACTTTATTCTGTGCTTTCAGAAGCTTGACAGCCAAATGTCAAATTGTTATTTGATCACATCTTGTATGTTTGTTTCATAATAGGTCAGAGTAATACCTACAATTCAAATAGATCGACCATTTGAGCCCTAAACCATAGAGCACTGGTATATAATCCTCATAGGACACAAACCAGGCCTTTAAACTTCCCATCTATTACGGTAATGGTGCTGTGGGACTTGAAGATGTCCCTCATTGAACAGTGTGTGTGTGTGTGTGTGTGTGTGTGTAGGAGTGAACGCAGGACCAGCAAGGCTGCTAGCGGACAGCGGTGTTGTTTAATTGGCTATAAAGCAGAGATGAATGAAGGAGGGAGGATATTTACACCAGCAGTGATGGGGGTCTACCTGGACATTACAGTGAGAGTGTGTGAGAAAGGAACAGATAGAGAAAGTACACTTCTCTTGACAAGCTTCACAAAAGCTTTGATCATTTCTGTTATTTCTGCTGTTTTATCAGAAACTCAGCAAAGGCTCTCTAAGATAATGTGCCCCACACTCATAGGTTCTTTGAGATAATATGCGAAGCAACACACACAGACACATACACAACTCACTTATTGATGAGAACAATATCAGGAAGCCACACTTTTCCAGACGGGATACGCAACACATCAATTCCCCCATAATCTTTCGGGTTCCAGGAGAGGCGATAATCGTTCCACTCCTGCAAGAGCACAAAAAGGTGTGTGTGTGTGTGTGTGTGTGTGTGTGTTCATGTGCAGATAAATGAGGGTCATCGTAGAAATTATAAGTACAACCAGTTCATCATTTAATCAAATGATTTCAAATGATCTGGCTTGTGTCATTAATTATACCAAATACAATATCTCTGCACATTTGTCCATACATATTATCAACAGCATTTGCATAATTTTTCATTTTGCATTCAAAGTTACTGTATATTGATCCTAATTCTTATTGTTAGAGTTTGTCTTGTGTGGTAATTTTAGCACAGGAAATTATGATGATAGATGACAGATAACTTTTCCTCAATGCAAATAAAGCTTTATAAATTTGAATTGCGCTCAAGACGTTATTTCTCAAAATGACACACAGGAGCCAGAAGAAATTGTGCTGACTTACCAAGTTCATAATAACAATAGTGTTCATCTCCTCATCTTTCATGTTCTAGAACACAAAAAGCATGAAACAAAACAAAGTAAAAATAATTCATTAACTTAATTAGTGGATGCACATGTGTTTAGACATCAATCTGTGGTTTTACTATTAATCAATATTACACATTTAAGAGTGCATGTCTGTGATTTGGCCACCGGTACGAACAACAGCATGATTGCAAGTGTGATGTTGCTTTTATACAACAGTTCAATAAATAAGAAGTTATATATTGAGTAACTCACATTTTAGACACAGTATGGACAAATATTTAGTTTATATTTACTCCACCAATAAGAACAGTTTCAAAGAAATATCAGCAATCTATATTTACTCCACCAATAAGAACAGTTTCAAAACATATCAGCAATCTGGAACTTACAGTACTATAAAATGAACTTCAGGATGCAATATCTTAAAGCAATTTCAGCACTATGCTATTTTGGGTAAGTTCTATCATATTCAATATTTTAGAGGAATCTGCGAAATATTTAGGTTGAAAATGAAATTGCTCCACCTCCATAGCAGGAGCCATAATGAATGTAAACAACACAGTAAACACCAAACGCTATATTATACTAGGATTGTATCTTATTATTTCTAAAACTGCTGTTTTTCTTGACGGTTGATGAAAAAATGGGGGATTAGGAAGAAAAACAAGATCATATCTATAAAGAAGGATCCCCGAATTCTCTGCCTCTGATGTTTGTTTAGAGTCAAAACAAATAATGGCTGCAATGGGAGAAGGGGGTGATGGGATATGATTAGAAGACAAGGGAAAGACCTAGTAAGATCAGTACACAGTCCTGAATGCTATTTAAAACTAGTGTAGGAATGTCAGCTGTCCCAGTCTCAGTACAGAGCACAAACAGTTGGGGGACGGGTCAACACACACCGTACCACTCATATAGACATTGTATATACACTTTATATTATTAATATACATGTAATGATTTCAGTGTGTGGATAGCTCCAGGCTGAATACAGTTATATGATAAATTTCATGTTATATGAATACAGTTGGGATGATACATTAATGCTATCTCAATATGCATCTTGTTTTGGACACACATTTGGCTGCTCAAGCAAAATTCATGTGAAATCACTGTTCATAAAGCCTGTAGAGAAGTCATGTTCCTTTCTATTCAGAGCAATGAAAATACCTTGATTATAAACTTTAACTCTGAGACATTTGCGAAAATACAAATCTGCGTGTGCACTGTTACCCGAGACCTGGTTATTAAACCCGTTTTAGGAAGTGAAGGATACCATGACCTGATTCACCTACCAAATTAACACACTGAACAGCTGAACCAATGTCAGACTTGGTTCAATCTAGATTTTATTATGGGCCTACAAAGAATTGAAGCTTCTGCAAATTTACCCTAAATAATTAATAGCATTTCATAAAGGGTCATACTATAGTTTTTATGATTTCATTTTTACAAGTCTAGTCTTTTTTCCCCATACTCCATGGCCCTTAGATATAAACAGTCTGTTTTTTATTTTTCTGATGTGCCTTTAAGAAGTATATGTGACATGAGCAAAAACTCTTGAGGTACACCAAGGAAAATTAAATTAAATTCATCATAAAATGATGACTCCCAAGTTTTTTGACTCCCTCTTTAAGAATCACAGCATTACACACTGTGACACAATGGGTAACAATGTACAACACACTATTTGTTTAAATAAACAAGTAACTAACCACATCTTCTAATAAATCTAATAAATGATCAGCTTTTTGCAGTCAGGCAATCATAACGTTTTTGCCCCTAATTCACTTATTAATAATAATAATAATATTCTTTTAAAATAATTTATTCATAAAAAATACCATAACTAATATAACATACAAGTCAAGTCAAACTTATTTTATAGCACTTTTCACAATACACATCACTCCAAAGCATAAAGCTGTATTGTTAAAGATTAAATACACTTTAATAAAATAAAAAATAAAATAATAATTTGATATGAATATTAATGGCATGTGCCTATTAAACTACATAACTATGTGTGTTTGTATGTTCATACCAGGCTGACAAATGATGAGAGGGTCATGCCTATCCTCACGACGACCCTTTCCTCTGGGCTCCTTGCAGGACGCACTTTAACATAGTATGAAGAAAACAGTTTCTTCATCAGACGATCTTCTGCTTCTGATGCACCTGGAAAAGATGTTGTTGTGTTTCTGAGAAAGCAGATAAATACAGAAGTACAACTCTCTCCTACCCCTCTTTAATCTTAAGAGTCTGAGTATTAAAGGTTTTGCAGGTTAAAGCACAGAATGTCTTGTGTATGGGAAAGTTTACTGCCTAATCGTTGAATACAGCTCTGTGTAATGATGGATGGATGGATCTAAAAATCTGAACATAAATCTGAACAAAAAGCACACAGCCTTGGGTGTTCTTAGACCTGCATCATGCACAGTTTTGTGGGTCACTGTTTACTCCACTCGCCCGGCCATCGCTGAGGTTTTTATGCATCACGGCTGCCATTTTTTCCCGCAGCTTTCGAAGGTTAGCCGCATCTATAAGCGGGCCTTCTAGGGGCGCCACATTCATCAAGTCTCGCCAGCTCGAGCCCTCCAGAATACAAACTGACAGTTACAAATGACACGCGTCACCCCATGCGCCACCTTCATTACCAACCGCCACTACCAACGGCTGCTGCTTTGAGCATATGTACACATTTACAGCAGTTTTACTGTTTTGACCGACTTTTCTTGTGAGTAATAACTTTAAGTGGCTTTAAAGGGGTCATATGATGTTGCTAAAAATAACATTATGTTGTGTATTTAGTGTAATGAAATGTGTTTATGCGGTTTAAGGTTAAAAAAACACATTATTTTCCACATACTGTACATTATTGTTTCTCCTCTATGCCCCAACTTTCTGAAACGCGTCGATTTTTACAAAGCTCATCGGTCTGAAAAGCAAGGTGTGCTGTGATTGGTCAGCTATCCAGTGCATTGTGATTGGCCGAATACCTCAAGCGTGTGACGGAAATGTTATGCCCCTCACCATATTGTGATGCCCTGTCCGGCCGGAGCGACGAGACAAAAACATTAAAACCCATTATAAACGAGGCATTTGTTGCATCCAGTGGGGACATAATTACGGATTATAATGACTTATACTGTCTTTATATGCGTTGCATCGCACTGCGTAAACATAAAACCCATGTCTGCATTTGTGTCCGAGAAATGACAAACAACAAGACTTTTATAAAGAATATCTCTTTGGGTTTGAGACTTTAGTCTTTGCAACTTCAGGGATCTTATCTATTCACGAACAGCTTGTAACACTCCAAAGAGAAAGGAAAACTTGAAATCGCATCATATGACCCCTTTAATTGAGAAAAGAAACCCCAATCCTGTATTCCAATTTTAAAAGACAGTATCATGGGAGAAACTTTACGGAAATGAGAGTTATTTTTTTCTGTATGAGCATTTAAACTGTCACACTGTTAACTGTTAATTGTTACCACAATTAACCTCTCTGAAACAACTTTAAATCAACTTTTAATATAAAGAGTTCCTGATGACAGTCTGACTTGAGGTTAATTTACAGTTTTCCCATGGGTACTTGTAAAAACTGTTCTTTAGAAAATGTCCCTTTTATGTTAAATGACTTTGGTACCATTTTTACAGTTGGTAAATTCTTTTGACTGACTCATTCTATCATACTTTCTGTTTTATGCTTCATTTCACACAGTCATTGTTTTAAAACACACCATTAATGTGACATACCATGGTAACATTTGGTTTACACACCAAAACATGAATTTATGTATCAGTCAACCAAATAATAAACAATGGAAGATACATGTTTCAAATCACTCTTAGGGTTTTTGAATTTAAAATATTACATGCTACAGACATCATATAAGAAGTAGGGCTTTACATGAATGACTGTAATATCTATCCAAAGGTGTGATCAATAAATATATGGCACTGCCATGAGGTTTTGTGCCAATTCGTAAAGTAGAATTGTGAAAGACTTAATACTTGCACAGTAATGCCACTTACTGTTCACTACAGCCCTCATTCCTGACAAAATATTCTCAAAGTATGACTGACATGATACTGCAATTGACCTTTTCACACTGTGGTGAGTTACAGTAATTTAGCCTCTGTCATGGTAAGACCTCTGTTTATCATACAGTATGGCATACTGTAAAATAACGCCCTGGGATTATGCATTAAAATTAATGAAAAGATATGCCAATTACAGGCTTTATGTATTTTACTTTAAAGGTAAAATATTTATCAAAAGCTTACTAGTAGTGAGAAAGCTAGACTGCGATTTTGTGAATTGAGTAAAAATGTTGTGGAATAATGCTTAAATAAACATTTTCGATGCACTGTTTGGAGAGCTATACAAAAATTCACAACTTACATGTAAAAACAGTACCAATTCCAATTTAAACAAAGGCGACTACAACAACGCAACGCACAAATTCACTTTGGAAACTTAAACTTACCTGCCATTGCGCTCAGGCCACAGAGGCAGCAGGTGACAATAAACCAGACCTGGGCCTTCATGGCGATTCACCAAATGAAATCACGGTGATATCCTCATAGAAAGTTAACGTGCGGGTCCATCCGTGTTTGTTCCAGCACACACAGTTGGCGAGAAGTCAGACCATGCACTGTCACTGAGCTCGGGTTACAGACACTGTGCTGTGCTGTGCGCATTACCTAAACATTACCTAACGAAATAGTAGCCTATTTCATAGAAGAAAAATATCTAATATCTGTTTAAGAACAATAATTATTCCCTCACATATCTTAAAAAATGGGTTGTGTTTCATATTTTAGAAATAATTATGGCCGCATTTATTTAATAAAAAATGCAGTAAAACAGTAACAGTACTGTGAAATATTATTACAATTTAAAATAACTAAGCACCAAATCAGCATATTAGAATGATTTCTGAAGGGAAGCTGAAAATTCAGCTTTGCCACCACAGTAATAAATTACATTTTAAAAATATATTACAATAGAAAAAACAGTTGTCTAAAATGCTTTAATACTTCACAGTATTACTGTTTATCAAATAAATGCAGCCTTGGTGAGCATAAGAGACTTGTTTCATAAACATTATAAAGAGTTAGCTATACTTGCAGTAGGGCTATACAGTATCTCACAGAAGTGAGTACACCCCTCACATTTTTGTAAATATTTTATTATATCTTTTCAGGTGACAACACTGAAGAAATGACACTTTGCTACAATGTAAAGTAGTGAGTGTACAGCTTGTATAACAGTGTAAATTT